GGGGGGGGGGGGGGGAGTGTTCTATTTCCCCTTTTTGGTGGTTTCTCTTTTTCTCTTTCGTAGGGGAATAAGAAGTTAAAGGCATCAGCCTGGGCAAGTAGGGGCTAGTCTGTTTGTAGTTTGGCAGATTATTCCTTTTAGCTAACTTTTCACATACTCGTAATTCATTCATTTATTTATTTATTCCATGTCATCTATTACACCACTTTTCGTCTTAGCATTAAATAGGGCTTGTGAGATAATTCATATTTCTAGGACAGTCTTCTTACTGTTCTTGTCATTGTCTTCAGATACATGCAAGGGAAGCGTTAGCCGATTACCACCGGTTGCTGGCGCCTGGGGGCGATTATGAAGGTAACCACAGATTAAGGAAATAAAACTAGTTTCGTTACTTATCAAAAAGAAAATAATGCCTTTTCTTTCTCACTAATAGGACAAGAAATTTGAATAACTATTGTTACTAGTCTTTATGAAGAGTATAAAAGAGCTAAGAAGGAAGGTGAGTCCGCTATTCGCAAAACGTAAGGTAAAACACCCTAGGATCATACCAAAATCTAGACAGGTGGGAAGGAGAGTATGAAATGTATGAACTAGCATGAAAAAGAAAGGGGTTAAAACTTAAAATCAGGTTAAGTCTAAAAAAATAGAAATAAAAAATGAAGATAGCCAACAAGGTTTGACATGAGATAGTAAGATCAAAAAGGAATGGAGATGTTATTTGATCAAATGCTCAACTCAAATCTGAGATACCTTCACAGATCTCCATACATACGTGCAAGATATACACCTTAGGTATACTCGTAAATTAGGTGCGGAGAAGTAAAAGATGCCATGAAAAAATTAATGGTTATAAAAGCTTGTGGTCAAATGGTATATATCAGTAGTGGAAATGCTTTATACAGGTTGGAGTAGTTTGGCTTACCAAAAGAATCACGTTTGACATAACCATAATTTTGTGTAGGTTCTCCACTTTTACATCCCACTTGCATACAGGGAATTTTCCCACTACATCAAATATGTATCAAAAGAAAATAGTTGGTCGTTGTTTGTACATTTACATTAGGTCGACATTTAGCAAGATTTTTTTTTTGGGTTTGCTTAGAGATTGTATATTAGTGTAGAGAAAAGTTTAAGATTTAGAGAACTCCATAGTTTACGGAACTCGTAATTTCTCCTAAAAGATAAATTATTGGAGTAAGGCAGGCTCAAATGGAGATTGTCGATTAAGTTACTATTAACAATCAAGTATGTGGAAATAAGTTAGAAGTTGGAGGTTGCTTGTGTTTAATCATGTAATCTTCTTGATTGAATAAATCCTAATTGGTGCCTGAAAACTCACTTGCAGTTGTAGCAACAATGCCAGGATATAAGTCAAGGAGTACAAGAATTATGTTGGGGGAAGAAGCGATGACGGTGGATTTTGTTATGGATCCAGTAATCACTCCCATAAATAGCTTTTTGCAAAGGGGATGGAGCTGCAGCTTACCAGGTCCTCATTTAGAAGTTTTTTTCATTTTGGTTTTGGTGTTAGTTTCAGTATTCCTCTGCTTTTTATTGAAGAGGAGAGTAGTATTAAACTATCCAAAACAGAGACAGACAAAAAGGTCTGTTCTTGGGGTATGAAGTTAGCGTGCGCACACACATTTTCGAGAAACGATATTTGTAAGACTGAAAAAAATATGATAGTAATAGTGAAAAAGATTATTACTTGTATCATTTTTCCTTCCGTTTATTACTTTCTTCCTTGTGATTTTCGGTCGGTCTATAGCATGGGAGAAAATGCATTCCCCAAAAGATTTGAGATCTCTGGCTTCATCCTATTATACGTAACTCCGGTTTGCGTATCCATTACTCTTTTTTTGGTTTAATCATCTAATCACTGGCTTGACCGACCCAGGTTTGTGTTGTAGAAAGCCGTTATTTTAGGTTTTAGTATGTCTTACTAAATATAATTTTTCTAAGAGCTCGAATACGAGATCGATATTAAGATAGGGGAGGAAAGTTTACCCTTCTACCACAACCCTCGGTGGTTGTATTCATTATCTTAACAATCAAGTTCTAAATCTTAATAAAAATAAAAGATTCGGGGACATTATTAGCTGTTTGGCCAAGCTTCTAAGATCAGCTTGCTTTGAAAAGTGCTTTTCTCATAGTATTTTTCAAAAGTACTTTTGTTGATAATAATTTGTGTTTGACTAATTTGTTTGGGAGTACTTTTGAACGACAATTAGTGTTTGGCCAAACTTAAGTGTGTTTTTCTTAAAAATGTTTTTTGGGGAGAAATTATTTTTTCTTTCTTTTTTGCTTCTCAAAAATTGCTTATGCTTTTACTCAAATTTACGTTTTTTTTAACTTATAAAAGTTTGATTAAATACCTTAACCTCCGGAAAAATATTTTGACAAAAAACAGACCAAAAAGAAGCTTGGGCAAACAGCTTATAAATGGAGGTTCACTGATTATAAGAATGTTAAAAAACTCTATTTTACCTAAATATTCCTCGGTAACTTCCTGATTATATAACTAATCATAAGGTCATCAATGTGTCCAATAGTATTGATTACAACTGCCAGCGCCAGGTCATTAGACACAGGGGAGGGGCGGAGGGAGAGTGCCATGTACGGGTTCGGACGAACCCAGTAGCTTTTGTTTAAACTTTGAATTTGTATTAGAAATTCCATTAAATATGTGTAAATATTCAATTGCAAATCCAATAACTAATGAGCTATGAGATCGGTTGCAAGTTCAGAACCCATAAACTTCAATTTCTAACTCCGCCTCTGATTTTAGACATGACCCTTTTGTCTATTTTGGGATTATTTGTTAGGGTGGGTGGGATGGAGACGAGGTAAGAGCGCGGTGGTTTGAGGGGAGGAGATAATTTGCATGGAATGCTACTTATGGAACTCATTTTCCCTAATCCTACCAAGCAAGTTATTTTTATTTTTTATTTTTAAGGAACTTGTTTTTCTAGAAAAAAAATAGTTTATGTTTCAAAATATTTTGTCCTATCAAACTTGATACCAAACACACCTCGTGGTGCGGCAAATTGACTAGATATTTTGGGACGTGGTTGAGAATGAATAGTTTGAAAAGGAAAAGTTATCATCGATATTGTCTTTCACTTAAAAACATCAATTATCGTAGTGAAGTCCTTGAAGGTGACTAAAAAGAAAAGTTGACAAAATCCACACCACCCCTTTATAAGAAGCCTCCTATTATATTATATTAATATCTTGTCTTACCTTTTTATTTGGAATCTCCTTTATTTTCAAGGCAACGACGAGTTAATGGTTGTCACTGAACATGACTAGAATAGGAATCAACCAATATTAAACGTAAGAACAAAGTCGTTCTCATTATTTGAGGACAGTATGATCTAAAGTTGTTTTACAAATTTATCTCATCACCCTTTTTAATCAATCAGACTTCCAAACTTTTTTCTTCTCTTATTAGGAGAAAAAGACCTTTTATGTTTATAGTAATATTGTGGGTCCCACTTTTGGTATATGTAGGTCCCCATTATATCAGTCAATGTCTGTATTACGTATTAATAAAAAATTAAGATCAGTTTCAATATTTTTTTTCTTCTTCAAATTGCCACGTTAAGTAGCGTGGGAGAAATTTAAATATTATTAAAGTTGATGCAAAATATATTATGGTTGAGTCAGTCGCACGAAATTTAAATATTATTAAAGCCAGAATTTTCACTTGAAAAAGTTAAAATATAAAAAAGTGAATACACGAAAAAACCAAGAGAATTCAACATATATATAATTATATATACATATAAAAATATTTACTAGCTATATAGAGTAATTTTCAAGGCGAAAACGTATCAATTTGGATAAAGGTGACTCCGCCATGAGATGCAAGAACAGTTAAAATAGAACAAGTCCATCTTAATATGTTTATCTTTTTTCCTGTTTCGTATTTCGTTGTATAAAACATATTCCATACTGACGTACCATAATGTATCCCCTGGAAACTATAAGCCTCATGAGAAAATTTAGCAGTGTTTATACCTGATTTATATCCTTAAAATCTGGTTGGGAGGAGGGACCAATTCAAAAATACCATCCAAACGACCCTAATGCTATTAGAAGAGATTTTTAGTTAATTAATTGAAAGAAAAACTGAAACTTGAGGCATTTGAAAGAAGATAAAAATTAGTGGAGAGGACAATTTAGCTTACAACTAGCTTTTTGGATTGTTTGGCGTAGGTTTGGCAACCCATTGATGAAAGTTGTTAACCGTTGATTTTGACATAATGAGACATAATTAAAACAATTAAAAACAGAAAAAACAACGCTGTTCAAAAGATCAATCATGTCCCTTTAAAAGCCCGAGTCTGAAAATTATATCCCTCTGATTAAGTGGTGCTTTGGCATGATTTTTGTACACGGTAAAAATCAGAGGGTCCGATTCTATGATTATTATGGCGCTTCGTGAGACCGCCCCCTGAAGCCTCGAGGCCCACCTCGAGGTTCGACCCCGAAGATTCTTAATGACCGACCTCGAGGTAGTGCAAACCAAAGGTTATGATGGACAAACGGGAAGTTCCCAAGGCACGTGATTAAAGCGTAAAAATAGCACGATATTTCAGACTGGTCATTCAAAAATAGCCAGCGTTTACGAAGTCAATAAAAAATAGCCACTATTTTGCTGCAACAGAGACCGGTCCAGCATAATATACTGGAGTTCGGTGCACTTGTGTATAAACTCCAGCATATTATGCTGGACCGGTATACTTTGCTGACTCCAGTATAATATACTGGAGACTGGAGCACCGGTGCTCCAACTCTAGTATATTATACTGGACAATTATACTTGCTGGAACTCCAGTATATTATGCTGGAGTTCTAGTGTACTTATGCTGGAACTCCAACATATTATGCTGGAGTTCTAGCAGTATAATATACTGGCGTATTTTTCGGGTTTTGAACGGTGTTTTCGCTCAGATTTATCTTTACATGAAAAGTGGCTAAATTTCGATTACTTTTGAAACTGGGCTATTTTTGAACGACCAGTTGTAAATCTAGCTATTTTTAAATTTCTTCCGATTAAAGCTGACCAAGTCTATTAGGCTAGTTCAAGCCCATACTGTGGCATTAAATGGCTGTACCAGCCTCAAATCCTTGGAATAAATGCATCTGTACTATGTTGGGATTCCTCCTATATAAAGGGCACCCTTGTTATTTTTTGCACACATGACATTATACACAACAATGAATACAAGAACATTATCTGTTCTCTAACTTACACACATTCTCCCTTGATTCTATTATTTACATTTATTGCTTACATTTACTGTGTTCTATTAATTGTTCTTCATTTATTGCTCATTATTGATCATAAAGAGCCTTCATCAAAGTTCTCAAAATTGTTAGTCCTTCATCGACTGTCCATAGCTTAGTATCGAGCTCGACCTCGAGGCCCTGTACAACCTGGCTCGAGACCCCGATTCTTAGCCTCTCGGTTTGCTTAAACATATTGCTTTCAAGTTCTTATCTTATTTCTTAGTCTCATACTTAGCATCTATTGCCTAACAACCAGCACAAAAACAAATCACATATTTTTAGAACCACAAAATCAAATCTAATTGTAATTGACATTTTCAAGGTAAACAATTTTCATACAAGTTAGTATGGTCTCTTTAAAAGAATATCAAATTTTACTACCTATAGGAATAGTAGAATTTCTTCATATAATCAAGATTGTGCATAATATATTAAAGAACAATATAAATTTTTTATTTTCATATTAAGTATGACTCAATCAAGAAAAATTATCAAAGTGTTAGGATGCTAGCTACTAGCTAGTAAAGATGAGATAACTAGAGACTGAATTTGTTCACCATATAAGAGGCAACAAAAAAAATCATTTTAAGTACTCGGTATACATATCCTGTTATATACGTCCAGCTATAATTAATTGTCTTTCCTGCTTGATTATTTTTACCAAGTCAAAATGGATTTAAATGACCAAACCCCACTCTTCTTGTGGATAAGATTGGTTTCATAAAGTGATAAACATTGGAGTAATAAATTCCCAGTATGAAAAAAAGAAACTAGATTTATTTATGTTGTTAAAAAAAGAATACTACTAAAATAATTCCATATCCAGAAATTCTTAATCTTTATTTTCCTATTGTATTTTTAGTTACATGGTTATGCTGGAAGTAACGTGATTTTGGTAATTTATCTGATAATGTGATAATTTCTTTTTTTTTTTCTAAAAAAAAAACCGTGTTGTCAATTACTCCATCCGTTTCAATTTAGACGAGATAGTTTGACTCGACACGAAATTTATGAAAAAAAAGACATTTAAAACTTATGGTCTTAAAAACTTAAGGGGTAAAAACTTTGTGGGACCATGATATTTATGCGATTATAAAAGTATGGGTAAAATATGTTAAATAAAGAATTTAAAATTAATTTATTTTTGATTGTAGAACTTTTTTTTTGGAACGGATTAATAAGGAAAATGTGTCATCTAAATTAAAATAGAGGGAGTATAATGCAAATAAGGAAGATGAAGGACGTCTTAACAAGGAGCACGTGTCATTGTCTCAGTGGTTCGATACGTTCCGTACTGATTTAGTCGTTAGTCGTTTATTTTCGCAAAAACTCATCACACTTTCTCCCGGTGATTTTAAATTAAGCGGGTTCATACGTGGCAAGTTTCTATTGGGAGACTGACTTCCCCACGCGTTTTA